CTCCCCGGACTGACTTCGATCTTACACCTCGGTCCGACCGTATGAGATCTGGGAGATCTCTTGGCCCCCGCCTGGACATCCGCACCACCCTGGCTGTCACACCCCTATTCGACGCCCCCGCTGGGCGAAGGGTCCTCCTTCCCCTCCCCCCTCTTCCTCCGGGCTTCCCGACCAGATGGCGCACGCCTGCTCCCCGTCCTGATCGCGAGGCGATCGAGGAGCTCATCGACCAGGGCGATGAAATCTGAATCGGGGGAAAGTCGCCCTCTGAGGGTGCGCACCAGGACGCTGGAAACATCCGCGGCTGGATTCACGAGTGGGACACCTGGAGGACACACACAGGATGCGCGGCGGGAGCCCTGCGTGCCCCGCCCCAAAAGAAGGGCCAGGCGCTGCAACGACATCTGGCCACACGGCTATCCAGCTTTTCCGCAGTCGGGCCCGTGCCCGTGCCAGCGCTGCTGTCTTCGAAAACCGCTCTTCCGCGGACGCGCTGTGCCGATCGCGGCCGTGCCGACAGGTCGGTGCGCGTGCCCGGCTCCGAAGGGCCGCGGAGGGCCCGATCCGCCGGCCCCCTTCGGGCCCACCGCCAGACCAGCGACGCGGTCGAGCCCTGGCCTGCGGACCGAGGGCTTCGCCATCCATCCGGCGCGCCGAACCCTCCCCCGCACTCTCCGGGGACCTCCCGCCCGAACCTTCCGCCCTTTTTCGATATGATCGATGTGGACTTCCTTGCATTACGTAAGACTTCCATGAACTTCGATGAATTCTTCCGCACCTTACGCGGAGATTGGACGGTATTAGAGGCCTCCTAGATGGGGCCGGAGTAGATGGGGTCGGAGGATCACGCCGCATCGCCGATGCATCGGCGATGCATCGGCGACATCGGCGGTGCATCGGCGACGCCAGCGTTCCCTCGTAAACTACACTGTGTCCGCCCCCCAGGGCCAGGATCCCTTGTAAATTACGCTGCGTCCGCGCTCCCAGGGCCACGATCTAAGGTAAATTACGCTGCGTCCGCGCTCCCAGGGCCACAGTCCACCGTACATTATACTCCGTCCGCGCTCCCAGGGCCACGATCCCTCGTGAATTACGCTGCGTCCGCTTTCCCTGGGCCGCAGTCCCTCGTAAACTACGCTGCGTCCACGCTCCTAGGGCTGCGCTTCCTAGTGAATTACGCTCCGTCCACGCTCCCAGGGCCACGGTCCTCAGTAAATTACACTGTGTTCGGGCTCCCAGAACCATCTGGGCATCCTGGGGCGCCTAGGCCGCTCGAGTTCTGCAAAACAAGCGTTTCGCTCGAGACATCCTCGAAGCGTCTCGCTCGAGGCATCTTCAAGACCTGGACACGTGAAAACAAGCATTGCACCTGAGACATCCTCTGAATTCTGGTCCCCAGGAGAGGAACGAACTATAACACAAAACAAGCGTTTCGCTCGAGACATCCTCAACAAATTATGCAACACAAGCGTTTCGTTCGAGACATTTGCAACAAACAAAAATTCTTATTTTACCCAGTGTTTTGCCCGTCGGAACGTCAATAACCAGCGTGTCGCTCGCCGGTCTTCTTCGACCTCGCTATCTATCACCAAATAATTTCGCCAGCCCTCTTCAAACCGATTCCGGGCGGGAATAAACCTACTGAGCGAGAATCCTGGGCAGGTGCCCTTCCCGGAAAAATCCACGCGTCCGAACGATGCCAAGGGGACACGAGCGGATCCGCGAGCCTCCACGACGTCACGACCCACATGCGCCGCAGCCTCCCACAAGCGCTCACGGAGTATCGGAGCACCTGCGCGCCTCCTCAAGTGCAGCCAGGCCGCCTCCTCACATCCAGGAGGGAAGTGGGAAGGCGGAGGAGGAGAAGGAGCAGGGGGATGAGGGGAACCAGGGGGAGGAGGGGGAGGAGGAGGAGGAGGAGGAGGCAGATCGTCGAGAGGGAAGGTTCGTCTCGTCATCACCGCCGACCGCCCCTCGGCAGATCGGCCGCTTGCCTCGCTGCGCGAGCAATGGCAAGCGCTTCCCTGTTGGGGAAAACCGTCGTTATAGATTTGGCGTGCGCCAGCTTGCGATAAAAATGGAAGGCCGCAACCACTCTACGAAGACTCTCCTGGTCCGTGGGGCCGAGGGCGAGTTTGTGGAGGGGCGCCTCTGGGAAGGGAGATCGGCAGACCTCCGAGACCATGCCGAGGAACACCTCACAGCAGAAATAATGCTTAAGCGAATCAGGCCCCACTCCACATACGCGGCAGCGGGAGTCAGGGTTCCTCAACCTCGTCGAGGGCCCCCCCCCCCCACTCCAAGTCTTTAAAGCCGCCATCCTCCATGAGGGGGGGGATCTCAGAAGTTCCGCCTGGACACGCTCCCACTCGACACAAGCCAGATCCCCCCTCTCAAGGCCAAACCAAGTTTGGAGTCTGCGGCCGAGGACTGCGATGAGCGACCCTGCAGGCCTGAAGCGTGACATTATATATCCTGCCACAAAGGATCTCTGCGTGCGCACGCGCACCGCACGAGACGCGCCGAGCTCCGCTGACCTCTGCCGGACCGACTCCCTGTCCCGAGCCAGTCGAGCCAGTCCCGACAAAACATGAGGGAGCCAGGTCTGACCTACCGAAAGGCCTTCCCCAGCCGCATCCCGAAGCTCCCAGGAGATCGCTGGCGACTGCCAGAACTCTGGCCACGGAGCGGCACTGCGTGCATCTATGAACCTCACTATCGGCAGGTATCGCCGCGCAGCCTCGAGAAGCCTACGCACCGCACCCCGCCAGCAAGATAAAGCTTCAGTTGCCGCCCTGGCACGGCAGGCTGCTGCCAGAGCCTCGACACTTGGCACCAGGGGGCCTCCGAGGACTGGCAAGTCCCACAAGGCGCGGAGCGGAAGCCAGCTGCCCGGCGCCCTGAAAAGACGCAGAAGTACGTACATCTCGTCGTGGTGGAGGGACGGGGGGGAGGCGGAAGAGTTGAGCCTTGTACTCTAACACGCTGGTGGCACGCTCGCGGTAGAGGCTGACTGCGGTGGATTGGTCCGCGGCCGACCGGGCTATGTCTCGGGCCCAGGTCCTCCACTTTTCGAGCACCCCCGCCCACTGGGTAGCTGCAGTTGCACTGGGGCCAAGCTCCACTCCCAGATACATGAGCTGGCTCGCGATTTGAAACGCTGCCCAAGAGTCACCGAGGACAATCCTTTGGAGCCACCATGGCCCCCCAAATAGCTGCCGAATTCCGAAGGAGTTGCGCGGCAATTTTTCCTTGTTTGAAAGCATGCAGCGCTTGGCGCGTAGGCCAGCCTGCAATGCCCCCTGACGAGCATCCACGTTGAACCAAACGCTACCGCGGCCGTCGCCATCATCAACGCCAAAACCACAAGATAACACATGTTACAATCATCGTCGGGCTGAGGCCAGGTGAGCCTGCGTCGCCGCGCATTGACTTCTTGCCGCAGCTGAGTGCTGCGAGCTCCCAGCAGCATTCGTCGGCAGCTGTCAATAGCAAAACTGCCGAAATGGTCATTGAAAGAGCCGCCAGGAGGGCCGCCGAAAGGGCAGCCGAAATCGTCGCCGAAATCCCCGCCGAAATTGCCGCCAAAATTGCCGCTGAAATCGCCGCCGAAATTGCCGCCGAAATTGCAGCCGAACTTGCCGCCGAACTTGCCGCCGAACTCACCGCCGAAATTGCCGCCGAAATAATTGCGAACTCCGCCAAAATAGCCGCCGGAATTCAGCCGCCGAAATCGCCGCCGAAATTCAGCCGCCGAAATGTTCACTGCCCCGTCGCAAGCGAAATCGCTGTTCCAGTAAGCACGATGACGCCGCAGACACAGGCATAGAGTCACAGCCAAGGTCACATTCGGCCTCTTTTCGGCGGAGCCATCTGGAATTTCGGCTGAAATTTCGGCGGCAATTTCGGCGGCAATTTCGGGGGCACTTTCGGCTGCGATTTCGGTGGCAATTTCGGCGGCAATTTCGGCGGCAATTCCGGCGGCCCTTCCGACTGCTCTTTCGGCGGCCCCTTCGGCGGCAATCTCGGCGGCCCTTTCGGCGGCTCTGTCGGCGGCCATTTCGGCGACGTTGCTTTTGCCAACAGCCGACAATGGTTGCCGGGAGCTCTCGGCACTCGGCGACCCCAGCGGGCCCTGAGAGGGCCCTCGAAACCCCTCTCCAGAAAGCGTCTGCGAAGTAGCTCAAGCCATGCGTGATTTGCACGCGATAGCATGCGCAACGTGCAATACGAATGCCTTGCATTATGCGTCAGCACGCTCTAAGGTGCGCCTGGGAACCACCGCGCGGCAGGGCGCGCCTGCACACTGAAACTCTACGAAAAAAAAAAACCTCAATTTCGTCTGGAATGGATTTCGGCGCGCGACCCTTTTCGTCTCCAAAGAAAGAGCCACTATGACAAGAGGGCTCAACGCTCTGCAAAAGCTGACGGGCTGCTTCTTGCAACGCTTCAGAAAAAGCCTCAGACAGCGGTACGCAGAAGCACTTGTTTGGATTAAGTGCTAAGCCAGCGAGCCATTTCGACACGCGGAAAACCCTTGCAAACTGCCTCAAACCCGACTCCCCTCCCACCACTGACCCATTATCATCGGCGCACCAGCGAGCACATCCGCGACGTCGCGCCTCGAGCGAGGCCTCGAGGTCCGCAGCAAATGGGTGGCTCGCCGCAGCAAACAGACTGCCTGAGGCCGGGTCCCCCTGAAGGACTCCCGAAAGGATGAAGAACAAGGGGGAGCGGGGGGGGTCAGAGCTCAGCGAACGGGCACCGCTGTACGACTGCTGGAGGGCATCGGACATGCCAGAAGGGACCCGCCATGCCGTCAGGACGTCCCACAAAAATGCGTGTTCGACCGAAGGGAAGGCTTGCGCATAGTCGAACGCGAGGAGAAGGGGGAAGCGGGAAGGCGAGGCAGGAAGCATTCCCTCCAGCCGGGCACGACAATCTAGTTCGACTATGTTGTTTAAAAAGTTGTTGGGAGCGCGCAACAGAGTGGGCTACACCTCGCTTCAATTTCGTGTTGATCGCCGCCGAGATCGCCTTCGCCCCGGTACTGCGAAGAGCCAGGGGGCGTGTCTTGCCTGCTTCCCGCACTACGCCCTCGCCGTCCGTCGGGAGCTCACCCTTCGGGGGGTACACGCCGATGGAGTCGTTGAAATCGGATCTCATGGGCAGCCCCGACGCCATCCAGTTCAGGGAGGCCTTGAAAATACTGGGGCCAATTTCGTTTTGAAGCCAGGCGCAAGCTGGCAGACCGTCAGGCCCGGGCATCGCAACCTTGGCAACGCGAAGGACTCGCCGCAAGTCCTGTGTCTGCGGGGGCCCCCACATGTCCCACGGCGCCTGGGGCAGGGCGAACTTCGAGACATATTTCTCCCGCATCGCCATCTTGCGCGCGGTGTCCGGGTGGTTCGCAGGGCAGAATACTGAGCCCCAGAAGGACGCCAGGCCCACGTTGATCTCTTCAAGGGTGCCCGCCACCTCCCCGTCCTCCTTCACCAGCCCTATGAGGTACTTTCGAGACCCGGACGGGGCCCAAAGCTTAGATCGACGCCGATGGGCTCGTTGCTGGCCCTGCAGCCGCTTACGTAACTCAGCCTGGGTCTCGGCCGCCTCGGAACGTTCCAAGGCACGACGGCGGTGTGCGCCAGCCCGTCGTTGGGCCAGGTCAAACTCCATCTGGAAGCGGGCGTGGTCTACGATGCTGACCCGGCCCTCCACCACAGAGATAAAATCCCTCGTCCACACATGGTTGGCCATCAATGTGCAAGCCAGCCCACGCCAATTGCGATGAACAGCACGGCCCATTTGGCGGAAGATCATCGCCAGCGACTCTTGGGACCGGCCATGGTTGCGGAGGAGAAAATTCTGCGTGTCCTTCGCCGCCGCCTGCATGGCAACCGTGTGCATCGCGTACTGGTCGGGAGGAGCCATGTCCTGGAGCGGCAGGGTGTTGACGTAGGCCTGGAGGTACCCCTTGAACTTCGCATGCTTGCAGACTGCAGGCGCTATGGGCGCAGGGTGAGCCGCGTCCCGCGCCTAGGCCGCCGGCTCGCCAATTCAGTCATGAGCAGGCTGTGGTCGCTGATCTCGTTGATGTAGTTTTCCTGAGGTTCACCGAGGATGGAAGTCGACTGCCAGCCCTGGCAAAGCGCCCACTTGGGCACACTGAGGAAGAGCTTGTCGATGACCGTGGCCTGGCGCGTGCCCTGGTCCCAATGGGTCGGGAGGTCAGCCGTGAGCTCCGTTGCAGACGCCAGCGCGCCCGCCCATTTCTTCTCGCAGGGGCGTCGCCGGGCTGCGGGGTTCTCCGCCGGGGCCTCCATGAAATCCTCGCGGTCCATGGTCTCCCCAATGTTGAAGTCGCCAGTGATGACTACCAGACGCTCCCGCGCGTTCGACTTGGCCCATTTGAGGTCTGCCTTGATCATCGAGGTCGTCCGGCGCCGTTGCTCAGAAGACAGCCCGTGGTTGTGTACATGCCAGTGAACAAAAGTGGCATGAGGTGGCCCTGACGGTGGCGCAAGCGGTAGACCCGAGCATCTACCAGCTCCCTCGGCGCCCCCCAGGCCTCCGGGAACCTCCGAAGACCCACCTGAGCATCCCGACGGTGGAGACGCAGAGGGACATGTGCTGCGCGAAACCCTCTGGGTCGCAAAACTCGGCAGCTGAGAGGGAGGCAAAGTGGACGAAGTCGACTCGGATGGCCTCTGGGTTGAAGCGCTGGTCAACGTCGACGGGGCCAGAGAAGTGGCGTGGCCTGGGGTATTAAAAACTTTGGCACGCACACGGAGGACTCGGCCATGTACCACTTCGGTGTCATGGAAATCTACTGCATGGCCCGAGTGCGGCTTTGAAAATATCGTCACCACCCCTCCTGAGTCTTCACGCTCACCAGGACAAAATGAGGCTCTGGCACAAAACTGCTGAAGTTCACATCTGTGGAGTATATCAGTGACGCGGTGAATAGAACCGTGCGTCTCTTGCAATGCAAGGATCATCGGTGTGTGGGCAACCTTACGTAAGGAGGAGGAGGAGGAGGAGGAGGAGGAGGAGGAGGAGGCGGAGGGAGGAGACGGAGGAGGTGAGAAGAGGAGGATCGATGGAGTAGGGCAGATGGCAGGAGAGTGGAGGGGAATGAGGAAGAGGAGGAGGAGTGAGAGAGGAGGAGGAGGAGGGAGGACGATGGAGGAGGGGGGAGGGGGGAGGAGGGAGGACTCAAGCTACAGGATCCCAAGCGAGGCCGCCCACGCGGCACCAGGACCAGCACCACCGCCATCAGCAGACCCGCACGGCTCACCCCGCTTCACAGCAAACTCTCGGTCGCATCTCGCGGCAGAAAGCCGGTGGCGCAGACACTCGGCGCACCACTCCCTCCGCAGCGAGCGGGCCGCCACCCAGCGGCCGAGACCCGCTGCAGCAACGCCCCAGGACCACGAGCGGGGAGACGCCCCCCTGCCCAGATCATTGGGTGCCGGATCCTTTCGGTCGCGATCCGATCGGCACTCCAAATCGGTCGCGACCGATCGCGACCGAATCCAACATCGGTCGCGACCAATTTCGAAGCACATCGGTCGCGACCGATACTGGAGTCTGCAGCAACATCGGCAGCGACCGATCTCGTCAGCCGCGACAAGGAAATTCTGGCATCCAATGATCAAGGTGCCACCATTGGGGCTTGGCGGCGGCTGGGGGGTCTGAGCTGCCTGGGCCCCGAAAAGGGCCAAAGACCTCCTCACCTCGAATCTGCCCCCTCCCCCCCTCTTGCTGGCCAGAACCAGTGCTGCGCCTGCGCCACAGCGCACCCCCAGCTGGCTCCACATTGGGGCTTCCCTCCCTGCCGAGCACGCACACCCCTCCAAGACGCCGCCGAGCGCGGCGCCCACCAGGGCGCGGTATCCATGGCAGGATGCTGGAGGGCCTCCAACTCTTCAGACATCTCCAGCACCTGCGGGGCAGGAGAGGAGGATGGGGGTTTAAACATGTGATATGGGGAAGGAGAGAGATGAGGAGGAGGAGGAGGAGGAGGAGGAGGAGGAGGAGGAGGAGGAGGAGGAGGAG